AAGTGTTTAATTTTTGGCTTCACCCTGAGCTTCCAAAGATTTTTCCTGCTCATCGACTCACCCTCACACCTTTAGATCCTCCTCCTGAACTCAAAGGTATAGCCACTATAGCAAGGATATATCCTCTTTGCATCAGAATTATAGAATAGTTGTTTAACTGGCGACTCCTTCCATTGACATATATATATTTTGGTTATTTTCAAAGATGAAACAAATGGAAATTGAATATTAGAAGGTTGAGACGAAGAAATCTTACAAAAATACTGTCATCTGATTTCCGTTAGCAATTTGCCATTTTAAACCCTTTCCAAAAAAAGAAAATGATCAAAGACTCCTTTTACAAAATAAAATATTGCAATGATGAAAATTATGAAATTAATGTAATAGAAGCACAATCTACTTTAGGGCATTTTTTACAGACTTTCAAACACCGACAGACATTAGTCTAATGCATGGTATAATGAGACAGGAGTTATATTGAATCCACAAGAAGGTAGTTTGATCCAACAAACTAAAAGAAAATTCACGAAGGAATATGATATCTTATTGATAAAATTGATTGAATATCTCTCCTATCGCAGTACAAGTTTTTATAATAAAATAAAAATCAGTTTTAAAGGAAATTAATTCCTAAAGAAAAATAAAAAAACATAAGGAATACATACAGCATATTATTTAAGCAAAAGAATTTAGAAATTATTTTGATTTTCATAAGGAATAATCCACATATCTGCAGCGCTCAGTTATGTCCATAACCTATTACTGTTTTTCTAATAAAAATTTTTATTACTGGGTCTCTCAATAATGAATCATTTAAAACAATTAAATTGATAATATCAAAATGTATAGATCAAGTTAATATTTTTTCCGTAAATGAAAATTTATTGATCGAGAAGAATCAAAGAATACGATAAAGCCCCAAGAACACACGCTACTGCAAGTGCCAAAGATGGCGTTCGTAGCATTCAACTACAGCACTAGTTCAGCAATGAGCAATCAGAGCTAAACATAAATATAGGGTTAAAAACCCCCCATTGCACATATAATTAAAAATAAAAAATAAAACAATTGCACACCAGCTAAGTTATCATTTATGAAAACATAGAGCATACTAATAAAATTTAATTTATTGGATCTAAATAAAACTCATATAATTCCAATTCAAATCATGTGGTTTGATTTGGTTTTATGACTCCAACGGATTGATTCCAATTGAAAAAAAAGTCCATTTAAATTTCATATATACAAGCGATGCACTGTTCCATCCGGCAACATCAAGGAACCAAATTAACACAGAAGTACTAGATGAACTAATAGAACATGTATTCCTAATAGTTTACCATCTATTATAACCAAGAATGTTAAAAAATACACAAATATATAATCAATCACAATTGGCTAAATATATAATTGAAAAACACAATAAGGTATAGATATATAAACCTGCAAGGTGGATCATCCGGATTTTGTTGGTACAGATCGATCCCATGAATCCTGTTTGGCTGGAGGGATAGGTTCTTTACGTTTTTATTGAAGTATTGTTCGATGAGTAATATTGGATCTATCATCAAACAATACTTCAACAAAAAAGTTAAGAAACCCTAACCCATCGATCAGTTCTTCTTCCTTGTTTTTTTACCTCTTCTTCTTGAGAGTGCGCGCGCGAGAGATCAGTGGTGGCCGGGTGATGATCGGCATACAGACGATGAGACTATTACTTAGGGCAATTAAGAGTGAATATGATCATATACATATATACACAATCTGAGAGGACTAGTACGCTACGTTATATATACGCCAATTAATAATCATAGGAAAAGTGAGATATCTTATACAGTAGTATTTGTATCCTCGATGAATAAGATAAGATATGGATATAAAATGAATTAAAATAAAACAGTTTTAGTATTTATTTATTAATATAAAAAAATATTTATTAGTTGATATAAAATGAATTAAAATAAACAAATATTTATAAATAAAATAAATTAAAATAAAAGAGTTTCTACAAAACTATTAGAACAACTAAAAACAAGTTACGTATAAAAATAAAATAAGTAATTATTTAATGTTCCAATAACTATTTATTAATATAAAAAAGACTTTCTATAAAACTATTAGAACAACTAAAACAAGTTACGTATAAAAATAAAATAGATAATTACTAACAAAACTATTTACCAAATAATAAAATAAATTACCAATTAAAATTAAATAAGTAATTAATTAATTAAAATTCAATTTAATAAAATAATCAACCAAATAATAAAATAAATTACCAATTAAAATTAAATACGTAAATTAAAAGTGTAAAGAGTTTCAGTATTTATTTATTAATATAAAAAATATTTATTAATTGATATAAAAATGAATTAAAGTAAAAGAGTTTCAATGTTCAGTATTTTGATCGGTATTAATTTATTAATATAAAAAAATATTTATTAATTGATATAAAATGAATTAAAATAAAAAAATTTCTATAAATAAAATGAATTGCTATACTATTTTTAAAAGTGTAAAGAGTTTCAGTGTTTTAATATTTTAGTATTTATTTATTAATATAAAGAAATTTTTATTAATTGATATAAAATGAATTAAAATAAAAGAGTTTCAGTGTTTTAGTATTTCAGTATTTTAGTATTTTTTAATTGATATAAAATGAATTAAAATAAAAGAGTTTCTATAAATAAAATAAATTATCTATATACTATTATTAAAAGTGTAAAGAGTTTCAAGTATTTCAGTGTTAATTTATTAATATAAAAAAATATTTATTAATTGATATAAAATGAATTTGATATAAAATGAATTAAAATAAAAAATTTAAGTGTTTCAGTACTTATTTATTAACATAAAGAAATATTTATTAATTGATATAAAATGAATTAAAATAAAAGAGTTTCCATAAATAAAATGAATTGTTATACTATTATTAAAAGTGTAAAGTGTTTCAGTATTTATTTATTAATATAAAAAAATATTTGTTAATTGAAATAAAATGAATTAAAATAAAAAATTTGTAGTGTTTCAATATTTTAGTATTTTTTAATTGTTATAAAATAAATTAAAATAAAATAGTTTCTATAAATAAAATGAATTATCTAATACTATTATTAAAAGTGTAAAGAGTTTCAAGTATTTTCGTATTTATTTGTTAATATAAAAAAATATTTATTAATCGATATAAAATAAATTAAAATAAAAGAGTTTCAGTATGTCAGTATTTAAGTATTTTATTATTCATTTATTAATATAAAATAATATTTATTAATTGATATAAAATGAATTAAATTAAAAGAGTTTCCATAAATAAAAGGAATTATTACACTATTATTAAAAGGGTAAAGAGTTTCAGTATTTATTTATTAATATAGAGAAATTTTTATTAGTTGATATAAAATGAATTAAAATAAAAGAGTTTCAGTGTTTCAGTATTTTAATATTTTAGTATTTTTTAATTGATTTAAAATGAATTAAAATAAAAAAAGTTTCTATAAATAAAATGAATTATCTATATACTATTATTAAAAGTGTAAAGAGTTTCAAGTATTTTTGAATTTATTTATTAGTACAAAAAAAAAATATATTAATTAATATAAAATGAATTAAAATAAAAGAGTTTAAGTGTTTCAGTATTTTAGTATTTATTTATTAATATAAAAAATTATTTATTAATTGATATAAAATGAATTAAAATAAAAGAGTTTCTATAGATAAAATAAATTGAAATAAAAGAGTTTCTATAAAACTATTAAAACAACTAAAACAAGTTAAGTATAAAAATAAAATAGGTAATTATTTAACAAAATTATTTGAATTCTTTGTTTTATTATAAGTATATTATTCTTTGGATTGCATTAATTATGTTATTTTTTAATTATGTTTTATTATTTGAATTGCATTAATCATGTTAATTTATATATTTATATATATTTTTATTTGTTTAATTATAAGTGATTTAAGTTGTATAGAAACTCTTCTAAGCACCTTATTAAGTTGACCTTATATTAATTAAATAAAAAATTCATAATTATACGTGATTTAAGGTGACCTCATATTAATTGAAAAATAAAAATTCATAATTATACGTGATTTAAGGTGACCTTATATTAATTAAAAAATAAAAATTCATAATAAATAGGCAATTTGTGTTATTTTTTTATATTAATTAATAAATATTTTTTATATTAATAAATAAATACTAAAATATTGAAATTCTTTAATTAAATATTTTTATATTAATAAATAAATTCTAAAATACTAAAAAGCTTTACACTTTTATAAATGGTCTAGATACATATACATACATATACATATACATCTACATCACTTATAAAAGTGTAATCTGGAGTGTTTTTTTTCTTCAAAATTTACTTTGTATTTAGGGGTCTTTGACTTCATATATTTGTAAAACTTAAAAATTTGTTATTTTTCATATAATATATATCGATTCGTCTAAACCATTGACGTTTTAGAGTGACGAGGGAAGGAAATAAAACCCTCTGACTCATCCTTCTTGTATTAGGAAAAGAAATAGCTTTCTGATTAGGAAAAGAATTCTCGCAATAAATAAATATATATATATATATCAATCAGTAGGGCGTCATAATATCTCGTCACTTTGTTCACTTTGTTTTTGGTTGGATTCTCTTTACTCATTGCGGTTTACATTGCCAAGATTGTTGCAACTTCAGGTGAGTTGTTGTGATTATTCATATTCATATACTATTTATATACAAGTATATATTAATTATCTGAATTTACGATTATTCTATCATGTTTTCATGTGCTTGAATAAATTTATGTCTCTGGAAATATTAATATATCTCTTTTTTATTTATATAAATAGGTAACAACTTATTTAACTACGTTGCCATACCTCTCAATTTGTGGTTTTAATTTTTTTTTTTTTTTTTTTTTGGGTTCAAATTTTTGCCAATCAATTGATTATTTAGATTCTTTGATTTGTTGACATTGTAGTGGTGGTATTGGATATTGATATGGGCTCATTATGGGAGTCGGAATCAGATTGGGCATGGCTTCCGATGAACTTATTTGATATGATTCTCTACAAGTTGGTTTCACTTGCTGACTATGTTCGCTTTGGTGCTGTGTGCAAATCATGGCAATCTGTGGCAATGGACAACAAAGTTCAATTTTTTGAAAATAAAGGCTGCAGACAAGTTCCATTCTTGATGGTCCCTAGTCAAGATGATAGCCACCAGGAAAGACGTAGCCTATACAACATCATTAATAATAAATTATTTGATTTTCAGGTACGGGTACCTTACAAGAAGAGGCTTTCTGGTTCATCACATGGTTGGTTATTTACTGTAGAAGAATCATTCGGCTTAACCTTAATTAACCCGTTCTCTGGAGCTACCATTGAGCTTCCTCCGATTATTAATCGCTCAGAATACGAATATCAAGAAATCATCAATATGGGTTATACAAAACCTCCTGATGTTGAGTTTAAAGTTATGAAAGCTATATTGTCTGCTGACCCTGTTTCGTCTCCTGGTGACTATATTATTAGTGCGATCTATAGTGATTGCAAATCATTGGCATTCATTCAGCCAGGAGACAGAGCTTGGACTTACATAGATAAAGATAGATTGAGATTTAGCCTCATTCTTGATGTTATATTTTATAAAGGCCAAATTCTTGCCGTCGATGGTTTCAATAGAATCATAATGGTTGATCTCAATAGAAGGGTTAGGGAGAGTAAGGCTCCCCAAGTGCAGGTAATTGCACCGCCAACTAATCTGCAGTCTGAACGTAATTATCTTGTCGAATCATCTAGCGGGGATTTACTTCTCGTGCATAGGAATATAGATTATGATCTCCCTGATTTACAGCATACAACTTTTGATTTTAAGGTTTTCAAGGTGCTTTTACAAAAAACAGATAAAAAGGTTTGGGCTAAACGGGTTGAAGTGAATAACTTGGGCGGAGACACCATGTTTTTGGGAGATAACCATTCAATTTGTGTTTCAGCTTCCAAATGGCCTGGGTGCCAGCCTAATTCCATATACTACACGGATGATTATATTGACATTAAATTACATCCCCTACATGGGCGCCGCGACCTTGGTATCTTTAACGTAGAGAATGGAAACTTTGGAATGCATTATAGCCTGGATCCTTCACATAAGCATATGCCGCCCTCAATTTGGATTGTGCCATCTATTTAAGAAATTGAGTACATAAGTAATTTATTGTGTGTCTTTTGGTGGAATCTAATTTGTTTAGTTTTTTTCCTTTTAAACAAATTTTTATTGGATTTGATTTATTTTCCTCGATAATTTTTAAGAATGTGAAGACTGCTTGGATAATTTTATTTTTATTTTTATTTTTATTTTTTAAAAATGATTTGCCAAATTTATATATACTGTATATCTCTCATATATGGTTCATAAGGCTGTTTAAATTATTAGATCTAATTTCATTGCAGAACTTGCCATTTTTTATATATTTTTTGTTGATGATGGAAGCTGTAGCGGCCAAGAGCTTATAAATCTGACTTAGGTGAAGCAATCTTAATTAAAACCTTGTTCTTGAAATATGTTTACTGGTTTTAGGAGGCTTATCCCAATTCCCTGAAAAATATGGAGCATACAACCGAGGTCACCAGATTCATTTTTTGCAATTTTCCATGCAGATTCCAGGTGTTCTGTATTTCCTTTAGACTTACTACCTTTTATCATGAAATACAAAAACCAAAGATTGTTATATTCATAGCAAATCATAACTTATATGTATAACCACCCTCAAAAGACCACCCTTCATTAAATTCATTTAACAATGCATACTTTTCTATCAATGAAGATGCATAAAAGACATGGATGAGATTCAATTGCAGAACCAGAACAAATTAGTTATGCAGCAATCACAGGCCAAAGAAGGGCAAACTGGTTGATGCCAAAGGATTTCACGTTGACCGATATCTAGGTAGTGGGGTACTGGGGTTTTTGGGGCGGAGAGGCTAAACTAGTCGACATGAAAGGGATACTCGTCGACCAGATTAGCCAAACCAGTCTATGTGTACCCTGCACACGTTGACCAATTCTTGGTCTTCTCTTATCTTTGTTTCTTTTTCTCTCGTAACCAACCCCGAGTTGTTTAATGATGCCATGGTGCACTATGAACCTTAGAATGATGCATTTATTAAACTTTGACATTAGAAATGATCGTAATGCCCTTAGATGACCCCTGGGTTCGGACAGCAGCGATGGCAACGACAGTGGTGGTCAGGGCCAGCAGGGGGGTGGAATTGGCAAAATTTTAATACCAGTACTAAATTATATATATTAATAGTCATTTTTCTATATAAAAAATAAATTGGCCCTCCAAATTTTTTGTAAAATCTATTTATGGTACTAAATTATAATTATTAATAGTAATTTTTCTAAAAACTAAAGTTGGTTCTTCAAAATTTTTGTAAAACCCTATTTATGGAACTAAATTATAGTTATTAATGGTGATTTTTATATAAAAATTAAAGCTTGTCTCTCTTAAATTCTAAAAAAAAATCTATTTATGGTTTACCTAATGATTATTGAATGTGGTTTGCAAATAAAATTACTTATAACCCTTCAAATTCGAATAAACATCTTGTTTCAAAAAATTCAAAATATAGTAAAAAATAAATAATAAATCATTATTATAGCAACTAATGGTGATTTTTTATATAAAAATTAAATCTTGCCTTTTCAAAATTCTAAAAAAAATTCTATTTATGGTTTACTTTATGATTATTGAATGTGGTTTGTGAATGAACCTTTTTTTTTTTTTTTTTTGACAGATATGGTTAGTGAATGAAATTACTTATAACCCTTCAAATTTGAATAAACCTATTGCTTTAATAAATTCAAAATATAGTAAATAATAATAATAATAACCATTATTATGATAATCCTTATTGTAACATACTTTATTTATATCTATATATATATATATATATATATTATTTGTTATGAATTAGAGAGAAGAAAAAAAAAAACACTGCTGACACTTGAAAACCTCCACTGTTCTTAATTTGCTCTATTTTTCTTTTCATATCATCTATAAACACATGCTCTTAACATTAAAAATAAACTAAAAAAATTATAAGTATTTTATTTTATTTTTTAAATTTAATTTTATATTAATTAATTTGCCCCCCCTAAATATTTTTTCCTGACAATGCCCCTGGTGGTGGTGAGGCGATGATTGAAGGCGATAGTATTGTTAGTGGTGGCAACAAAATACGATGGTGGTGGTGGCGGTGGCAGAAAGCAGTGGCAATGGTGGTCGAGGTGGCGACGAAAGACGGTGGTGGCGGAGGAAGGCGGGTTGTGGTGGTAGAAGGCAATTGTAACGACCCGAACCCAGGGGTCCAAACCGTATCCGGGTCCTTACTCGAACCCGAGGTCATCTACTATCACTACAGTCATTCCCACTTCTAAACTATAAGGGAACACATCATACCAAATTTGAAAATTGAAATACAGATTCTAAGTTTCTAAAATCCTGTAATTTCCAAACTCATCTATGAGCCATATAAAAGGCTTACCCTGTCCCACAATAGTCACCACATGCATCTATAATGGTAAAATTCATAATCTCACACACGGAGAAAAAAACTAAAAGTTCATTTACATGATACATTACATCCGACTACAGTCCCTGAACATAAGCTTACGAAAGAGATACAAAACAAGTTTAAAGTTTTACAAAACTTGTATATACAACAGAAAAATTAACACAACAAAGTCCATTTAGCCCTGTCTAAGCCTATGGGGATTTTCTTTCACCACATCCTTTCTGTGTCCTGAAAAATAATAGTAAGGAGTGAGCACAACGGCTTCGTAGAAGATGCCTACAACGCACTCCTTAATGCCTCCGTGAATCCAAACAAAGAATAGCGATAAGAAAAAGGGTCATACTTGTTCGGGAAGTAATAATCATCACATAATATAATCTCATAAACGCAACGGAATGCAATGTTAATGAGGTGCCAATGTCTCTCCCCATTATCCAAAATTCTATCGAACATTTTCTTTAAATTTCAGATTTTGCTTTTATTTCAAAAACACAATCTTCTCCTTTTCAAAAATATGTTCTGCCCCATGTAGTACCCAATATAATGCATGAATGACACACTTCATAGTCTCATAATGTCATAGCATTCCACATCAAAATTTCAGTTCTATACACCATGCTTTAATAACAAGTCAACATGGCAGTTTTTAAAACATAAAAACTCAATCATTCATGCAGCAAATCAGCAGCATCACCAAGGTACTTTAAACATATACAAATTATATTGATTTTAACATTAGTGTCACTTTACACAATACAATTGAGCATGCAATTTTCAGTTTCGAACTCATCGAATAAAACCAACATTGAGGAAGCTTAAATTTCAGTTTTTAACTATACAATACGCACCATAAAAAGAAGTTACAAATTTCAGTTTTTGTGTAACAACAACAACAACAATCCTTACAACAAAATAGTCCCACATGTGAGGTAAGTTTAACATAAAATTTTCAACTTGCAAGTTACAACAACCCAACCATTATAATTACTAAACTTTCAGTTTTATACACATCAACACATTCAACAGTTTAAGGAACTCAGCTTCAATTTTTAAAGCACACAATGCATCATTAATATAGAAGCTAAAAATTTCAGCATTTCAATTGCACAACATACTTGCAAAGAAAATTTAATTCTAGTCATGCAATGCATGAGTATTACATACTATTCAATGTCATGTTACATGCTAATTTCAGCCTCAAGTATCACAACCATAATTCCAGCTTTAGGAACAAACTATGAAGGCAATTTTTAATTCACAGCAACTTCACCAAGCTTACAACAAAACTATCCAATAGTTGAAGCAAATCAAACATGGAATTTCAGCTTGTAAGCAATAACAACATAGCCATTGAAATTACTAAATTTTCAGTTTAATGCACATAACACGACCAACATTTAGAAGAGCTCAATTTCAGTATTTATAACACATAACACATCATTGTTATATAAACTACAAAATTTCAGATTTAATTCACATATACATGCTTGTAAAAAAATTCAATTCTAGGCATATATTAGTTCAAAACTTAAGAGATTAATTCACAAGAGGTAAAGGAATTGGGGTTTAAGACAACTCCTACCTCAAAGAAGTTAGCCAAACCAAACAAGCCCTTAAGCCTCCAATTTTCGAAATTCCCTAAACCCCTTGCAATATTGGTCTCAATAAGCAGCTCTTCTCAAGCTCATCATTTCTTCATCTATGGCTTCATCAAAATCTCACTTTGATCTATCCAAAAACAAGCTTGAAGCTTAGAAGACAATAAGTGTATATAGATAGATATAGAATAAGAAAGTGAAGGTTTTTAGAGAGAAATGGGTTTTGCCAAGAGGAAGAGAGAAATGAAATGGTTTGGTCAAAATTTGACTTGTGGTCCATGACTTGCCACTTGTCAAAATGTGAATGAATTACACTTTATGGTTAGTTACACTTTTGTCCATCTATAACCATTGAAACTTCATCTATGTCCCAATAAATAGGAAAATTTGGTAACATTATAGCAACGATGGAAGTTGTGTTGAATGTGATGGCAGAAGGCCGCGGTAGTTGTGTTGAATGCAGTGGCAGAAGGCAGTTGGGGGTGGTATGGTGGCAAACAAGGGAATGATTGTATGTTGCGTTTGGTGTGCAAGAATGAAATGGAATTGAATGCTCATTCCAACCATCTCTTTGTTTGGTATGCAATTTAAAGTGGGAATAGCTATTCTATTGGAATGAAAATCCATTCCACAACTAAACTTATGGAATGGCCATTCCATTCCTAAGTAATTTTTTTTAAAAAATCAACTTCCCAAAAAACCTTCATGTTCCAAGTCCAAAAATCACCACCATCTTCCATCACAACTACCTCCACCTTTCACCACCACTACCACTACCACCGCTTTCCGCCACAGCCACTGACTTTCACCAGTACCACCCACCACTTTTCACTACCGCCACCGCCTTTCACCACCGACACCGCCTTCCTTTGCCCCAACCATCGGCACCGCCGCCGCCTTTCACCACCGTTATCGCCACCACCTTCATCACCTTTCACAACCACCACCGCCACCTCTTTTTACCACAGCCACGGCCTTCCACCACCACGTACTACTGCCACCGCCTTTCACC